CACCAAAGATATACCTGAATAGCCATGATGAATACTACATTTAATAGCGAAAGACAAATGATGCTTACTGCTTTTAAACAGATTGATTATTGTTTGTGTAAGGCCAACTGAGTTGGGCACTTGAAGGAGATCCTAAAGCTCTGACCACTGCCATCACTCAAAATTTAACAAGATATATTTTCCATGTCTCTGACACAGTGAATATAGATCTGAACTATTAAATTAATCTGTCCTTTCCCTATCTGTTTTGTAACTGAGGAATTTTGGTTCCCTATGCTTTTTCAGAAAATGCTCCTCTCCTACTAAATACCGTCACTGACAGAATGCATTCTGTAAAACATGGTAGTGTGCAGTTTGGCCCATGCTTTTTGGCTCTGTGTTTGAATTATTTTTATACTGACTCTTCTTAGCTCAGGTACTGATCCCCAAAGGAAATTAAAAATACCCCAAACATAAATAATTCTTCTCTGAAGTCTCCGGTTGGGGGTAGGGGAAAGAACCAGGGAGCAGAGTTAATCTATTTCAGTGGCCTTTAAAAAGGGTGTATGTATGTCTACCCACACAGAACTGATCACTGAGCCAGTACAACCTTTGGTCATTCCAGGCAGATAGGAGTCATTTGGATATCCACTATGGAGATATTAAAAAGAGGCTCTGCTCTCTTCTCTCCACTACCATGAAAATTAAGCCCTCAATTACCACCACACAAACATATGAAGGAAAAAAAAACAGTCTGTGTCTTGGTTGGGTGATACAAACATGAAAATATACACACACACAGGCCTGGAAAGTCATGAGAAAAGCAACTCCAGTTTCTGTAGCTGCAGAAGCTCAGGGCTGGTCACGTTCCCCTCCTCCTGGCCTTCGCTGTCACGGATAAATGCAGCCTCCACTGTTACTTCTAAAAGAATTGCTAGAGCATACAAATTGGAGTGTATGTTTCCTATTTGGTTTGAATTTCTCCACTGCACTATAAGGGCCCCACCCTGTTCCCATTAAAGAGTGGCAAAACTCCCAGGGAGTCCAATAGTGCAAGATCAGGCCCTCACCAGGGACAGGCAATTGTTTTCCTCTTCCAAAGGGACAAAGGACAGAGCATGGTATAGTGACGGTGCAACAGTCCACACCTCCCTCAATGCTTTTAAAATGGTTAAAAGATCATTTGTGTATGTGGGGGCCAAAAGCAGCAGCCCCCATGAGGTAAGTTAAAGGGTGGTAATCGTAAGTGCAAAAGAAACCTCTCTGATTTTGAAAACGTTGTTTGAATCTATGGCTAGGGTAGCAGTGCAAGTTTATTCCACCCTCTCTATTTATGCCTGGTGTTTAAAAAAAAAACAAAGGAAAAAAAATAAAAATAAAATAAATCCAACAGTCATTTCCTGAAAAGCAGGGGTAGCCAGGGCAGGCCCAGAGAGATTGTTGGAGAGTGCAGTGAGAAACAACTTATTCCACATTCTTGGTGAGGATAGTAGTAGAGCATGTGAAATACCATAGGGAAAAAAGCAGGTGGTAGTATATTTGGGGCAAGTGTGTATGTGAGGGGGAAGAAATGGGCGATGGGTGGTGGTGGTTTTTCTTTTTTCAGGAAGCAAGCTGGGAATTGATTCTAATATCAAATGCCTTGAGGTGTAGTGACACTCCCTTTGTTATGTGGGTGGGTAGGGCATTGGTCTGTTGCTTAGATAGCTCACAGGCCAAATTGTCTCTGCAGCCTTCAGGGGCAGCAGCTCTTCAGTTCATTTCATAGCAGAAGTCAGTTTTCATCAGACTAATGAATGTGGTACGGTTAAAGGGTGGTTTATCGTAACAGCAAAAGAGCCTCTTCCGATTTTGAAAAAGTTGTTTGAGTCTTTGGCTAGGATAGCAGCTCTAGTTTATTCCACCCTATTTTTCCCTTAAAAAAAAAAATCCAACAAACACTTCCTGAAAAGTAGGGTCACCGGAGCTAAAGGCCATCTTTATCATCAGATGAAAGATGTATGGTTCACACTGCACATCATAGAATATCAGGGTTAGAAGGGACCTCAGGAGATCATCCAGTCCAACCCCCTGCTCAAAGCAGGACTGATCCCCAGACAGATTTTTGCCCCAGATCCCTAAATGGCCCCCTCAAGGATTGAACTCACAACCTGGGGTTTAGCAGGCAATGCTCAAACCACACTGCCTTTGTGCATATGGACACAAGGATGCCCCACTCCTACCCTGTTTCCCCGAAAATAAGACAGTGTCTTATATTAATTTTTGCTCCCAAAGATGCGCTAGGTCTTATTTTCAGGGGATGTCTTATTTTTCAGAAATGAAAAATGCCTTATTATCGGTGGATGCCTTATTATCGGGGAGGTCTTATTATCGGGGGGATGCCTTATATTACAACGAGAGGCAAAACTGTAAGTAGGCCTTATTTTCGGAGGATGTCTTATTTTCGGGGAAACAGGGTATCAAATATTCAGTAAGCTAACATGTTCAAAGCAAAGGCTGAAGTGGCTTAAAAACAGGGGAGAAATCAGCACCCCTTCTACACTAGATGAGAAATAACCCCCCAAAAGAAAGTCAATGGGAGCTGTAGCTCATAATTGTGACTTCAACAAGGTTCAGTGCAACTAATGCAGTAGTTCCCTGAACTTTTTACTAAGCATACTCACCAACTGCATGGTCTTTTTTGCAAGGCACCCAGGGTTCAAATTGGGAGAGGGAGGGAAGGGACAAAACCATAGGAAAGTGTCCTCTTTCACCAGCGCTGCTGTCTCCTCCTTGCCCTGCCGAGACACTATTGACCACCTACAGCAGCACCCTCACTCCCGTCACCCTAATCCCAGCCTAGTGCAGGGAGACCCTGGGAAGTGGAGAGCAAGCCTGCCCCTTTCATCCTGTCCTAATGGCTCCAGTTCATTGCAACCTGGAGTGCGGGGTTACAGCACTGCTCAGGTTTGGCCTGGCCACTCATCCCTCATGCCAGAGAGTGGGCCAAACCTGAGTGGTACTGCAACCCCACATGCCAGGTTGCAATGCCTGAAGTGGGGAAACAAGGACAGAAGCCATTGCTGGGGGTCGGGGGGGGGGGGTTATGGGGTAGGCTCACTCTCCAGCCCCTTCCCAGCCTCCCTTCTTCTGAGCCATTCTCGCAACCCATCTACAACCTTCCCATGACCCATCCTTCGGGGGAAACTGACAGACTAAATCTATCTGATCAGTTTAATTGTTGCCTGAAGTGTTAAGGAATTTGTATATGTAACAAATAATTGTAACTGTAGACAGGTACAAATATCAGGGAGGGGGGTTGAGGCTTAAGTCATTTCTTGTGACAGGATGTCAAACAGCAAATAGCAGTGGAAGAACTGAGTCTTCACTATAGCCCTCAGGGTTGCCATTCTTTTAGTAGCAAGAGAAAATATATAGGTATAACAAGAGGACTATTCCCACTCTCCCCTTCACAACTCTAAGTCATCACAAATAACTGACAAACACGTTGTTTTGGGAGGCAAGGGGAATTAAGCACACATGACTCTCTCCCTGTACAAAACTTATACAATGCTAGCTAGTAAGCAGATATATTTGAAGTTAGTGGAGTTGTGACAATTACACACCCACTTAAGATCTGCTCCTAGGAAGAATACAAATACACAAGTGTAACACATGTAGTAGGATGTGAAACCTATATATTTTTTTTTTTGGACTATACTACATTGTGTCAGAGGAAGGATGACTTATACTGCACAACCAAGATTTTATGTATTGTATTGGTGCCATTATTTAACAAAAGAAAATAATTAATGAAGTGTGAAATATTACAACTGCAAATCTGCATTATGGCAGATTTAGTTTTTTGCATTCAGAACAGGAGAGGAAACAAAATACATAGGTCTGTTTAAGTATTGATTTTTTAATAGCTTGTTTCTCATATAGGGAACAAGGGGAAGTTTTATATTTTAGAAATACAGGTATCAGTTGAGTTTTTAAATAAAGCCTGATGTTTGCTACAGGTCATGTACATTGTTTGGCTTCAGTTTGTGTGCTTACTCGTTAAGCAACACTATTTCTGTAACAATTTATAAAGACAAATTTAAGTACAAGTACTGTTGTAGGTATTTTATATCTTCATGCTTATCGTGATGCTCAGGGCAAAGCGAAAAGTGTCAATCTGCGCCCGACTCCAAGTTCCAGACAAAGATTGCTGCATACTGTTACAGTGACACATTCAACCTGCTACATTTTATTTATCAAATCCACAGAAACAGATCTGGTGAAGTATCAGGAATTCTTTCCCTCTTAGTCCGGAAAATCTTCAAATGTTTAGTCAACAATTACGATCTTTCATTTTAAAGTATTCACTATAGATGTTGTAATAGCAATAGGAAAAATGGAATTTTAGAACTGGACACTACAGTAGCTGAAGTTTCAGCAGAAGAGTTACATACAAAAGGGGATTTTATATATAGTTTTCAATCTGTGTTTTCATTTGTCAGAATAAAACCTGTATATAAATGGATAACATTCAGGATGCTGCACATGAACAACAGTTGCTTTGTGCCTAAAACAATGTATTTAAACAGAACTTCACTTTCTGCTTTCCATTACCTCGCAAGTGTGCTTGCCCTTCAATTTAAAAATAAATATATATAGGGTTTGTTTTCCCCTTCCTAAATCTATCAGATCCACTATATATGGTGATGACCCTAAATTATATAACAATCTATATAATGAGGCAAACTCAAGGGGATTAGATACTAAAATACTTTTCTGGGTTCAGTAAGCTAAACAAGCCAAAATAAGTCTCTGTCAGAATAATACCAACATTTAATGAAAATAGCCACAGCCATTAAAAAATATTAAAAACTGTGGGTTTTTTAACTGTCTGTGTAATCCTTGCATTAGAGGTAGGAAAAGCAACAATTTTTTTGAAGTGAACCTAAAAAATACCACTATATGTTTGAATTTAGGAAAGTGAACTGTCACTCTTACTGTAGTTATATAAGTGTACTAAAAAAATTTACTTAAACATATGAATTTAAGACTTTACTTTATTCAGCAAATTGGTTTATTTACACAATGGGGAATGCTGGTTGAATTTTGTCAATGTAATAAAAACAATCTAAGAGACAATACTGAACTCTCAATCTTTGTATATATTCATAGCAGAATTGACCAACTGTTTCCTTACCTGTATCGGGAACATCAAGTGCAACAGTGGGACAGTATCGTAGGACACTGATTTAACAATAAACCACAGAGGTTGTGACAGTAGTACTTGGGAATTTACTGATGCATGTACTAACTTTTTTTGTTATTAAAAAAGTCAGCAAAACCAGCATGAAATTCGGTCTAATATCAGAGTATAACTCTGAGATCAGTGGGTCAGTAAAAACCTTATCAGATCATACACAATTTATAAAGTGACCTGATCTGCTTCAAACCACTATTACAGAAATAAAATGGATGAGAACAGATTACTCTCTAAAAGGCAACAGTGATCTGATAAGAATTTAACTTAATGGAAGTTAAAAAAAAATTAAGAATTGCAGAGCACAGCCCCTATTAGAACAAGCTAACTTTCCAGACTTTCAAAAAAAGAACCAAAAAAAAAAAATAGTGAAAGAAACCACTTCAACATGAAGCTACCATACAAAGTTTTTCTGTTTCATTTTTCTTTTTAAGAGTTCAGAGTTCCAATTTAATCCTGGCTCTTTAGTGAGAAGGACAGTTTTGGCCTAGACTTTCCCTTGCCCAGGATCATTTTTTGCTCTTCCTTTTGCTGACGTTGCCTCTCTTGTTCTAGTTTCATCCTCTCCTCATGAATCTTTCTTTGTTCTTCAACAATTTTCAATTGTTCTTCAGCCTGTGTACAAAACCAGTAGAAGTTAGAATACATAATATTTAGCGGGCCCTATAGTAGTGATTTTTCAATCTCTATTTTACATGTATTCAGCAAACACAGAGCCCAATCCTGCAAACTTAGACATGGAACTACTCATGTTACAAGTTCTATTGGCTTCACATAAGTAAAGTTTTGCACATGCATAAACATTTTCTGGATCAGGCTTTTAAGTGCATATAAAAATATCATACACCAATATAGTTCTTTCCATTTTCAACACACTTTACAAATACTATCTGTATATATTTATATGCATTACAAATTTAAATACAACATTATTCCTTTTTTTCATTATTAGGGAAATCAATTTATAAAAAGGAATATTCTCCACTACTTCTTGTCTGTGTTTGATAATTTAAAGGGGCACTATCAATATAGAGCAAAACCCTGCCAATTTCTTTCTCAACCTATTACAAGTTACCATTTAGGCTCAAACAGTGCAAGCACTTATGCAGTAAGCTTAATGGAATGACTCAGGAATAAAGTGACTTGTGTCTATTTGCACTATCAGGACATAATTACTAATGAAAGAAAGATTAGCGGAAGAACGTCTGTATTTTCAAGTTTTTATTTTGTTCATTTAATAGTATTTAGCATATAGTTAATTTGAATAATTTCTTCTGTTTGTATAGTTGTTTTTCCATAAAGCGATAAATTAAAAATGTGGTTGTAAAACCACAAAAACTGACAGTTAGATTTTAAAGCAGGTGTCAATCCAGAAACCAGTTTTAACAAAGGCCTTATCTACACAATTTAAACTGGTGCAAACCCCTTTGTGATCACGCTTATTTTGGATTATTTTAAACTGATCAACCAAAATAAGCCACTCAAACCAAAGTAACAGCATCCACACAGGGATGAAATGTTTTTGCACTGATTTAACTAAACTGGTTTAAAACCCATTGATTTACTTTAAACAAATGCAACTATCATATACAAAAGTCTGAAGTGTATATGTTGACAAAGTCCTTCTCACCCACTGCACACTGGAATTTTGCTCGTGTCAAACATATTTATACCTGTTCTGTTACACTAGGAACACTAATCAAAGCCTGGTCACCAGTCAAAACCTGAAAGGATACATTGGGAGCTGGAAAGAGATTGTTTGCCATCAAAGTCAATGGGAGCATTCACACCGATTTAAATGGGAGTAGGATTAGATGTTTAAAAAAAAAAAACACATCTTATCTAGCACATCAGGCAATAAGATTTGAACAGGTCTACATTAATGTAAACATTTCTACCTACCAGTTTAGCTTGTGCTTCTGCAATTTTTCGATTATTCTCTTCTAATATTCGCTCTAGTTCCTCACGTTTTGCACGCTCTTCCTCCTAAAGGGGAGGACAGGGTAAGATGTTAGAAAAGTAAAATACTCATTTATGTGTCTTCACTAATCTTCCTCAGAATTCTTTTGTGAACTGACTTACGGGGCAGCTTTACAGCCACCTATTTTGTCTCAACAGTAAATTGTGCAGCCACTAAAATTGGTCTCTAGTACTAAATTTAAATCATCCCTCCCAGTCCAAACAGCAACCAACTAAACCCTCCCTAATCATAGATTCCTGACAATTTATTACTAGTATTTTAATACCACACAAATGAACAAGGACAACTACAAAAACTGGATAGTATTTACCAAATTAAAAAAGTAATATATAAAATATAAATAAAGTGAATAGTTGGTCTCACCAATTAAGTATACCTACGTATTCTTTACCTATACTCCTTTAATCAGCATTAAAAGTTGAATATTTACTGTCTTGTCCAGTGTCCTGCAGAGTGTGCTCCTCGGCTGCCATACGCGCCAGCTTCCTCTTTAAAATGATTTGTACTGTTAGCTTGGCAATACCTGCATCAGCAGCTCAACCATTTATAAAGAAACAACATACAAGGAAGGCTGAGCTGAGGAATGCAGATGTTTATGATAAGAAGGAACAAAAATATGTAAATCATTCCTAAGGCAAACAATTAATAAGAAAAATACATTTACTGTTAGTGAAAAATACAAATGGTAATCCATACTTCATGGAACTAAGGGCTTCTTTCGTGGGGAAAATGGACTTAACATTCAATATTTTGACAATTTTAAGACAGCTTAAACTGTCATCTACAGTTTGAACTGGAATTCAGGAGTCCAGGAAAGGCATGATGAGGAAATAGAGCCTTATAAACTGCTGTTTCCTTGGTGAATTTAATAAAACTTTGTTATGCAAAACAAATATGAAGAGTGCGGGAAGGTTTTTGAGGTGCTTCAGTTCACATAATAAATATCCAAATTATTTTAGTATTTGGAAGATTTAAATCAGCCAGAGGTTTGTGTCTGTGTAAAAAAAAAAGTTAATATGAAACAAAACAAGCATATGAAGAGAAAACTTCTTACGATGACTAGTAATCAGCTACTAGCTAGCAGGCTGTGCTCCAGGAATTGAAATTTATTTTACACAGTAAAGCACCGATGTAACTACTCCGCATCAAACTTCAATTATGGTTTTTAAAAACCTTTTTATGAATGATGCATCCATTTAGTCAACTGAAATCCACTATATACAAATTTCAGCAAATTTTAATGTATCTAGAGTCAAAATGCATTTCTCTTAAAGTTGAACTTTGAATTGCACACATGTGAAATTCTGCACATCTTAAGTCTCAGCAAAAGAGCTTTTATTTCAAAGATATTATATTGGCAGACAAACAGTTGATGTTTAGCCTGAAGGGGAAAGCACCATTATTAATGACTTTCCTGTTGTAAACTAATCAAGTTATTCATTTAGACCAATTATTAAAAGAAGTACGGAGTGAGAGAGTTATTGGACACTCAGTGCTATTCAGCTGAATTTTCTTTAAGGGTTTAAAAGATTGACTTTAAATTTTTGGATCCTGGAGTGATTAGTGCGGACAAGCATCAAAGCCTTAGTAGCAAATTACTGCCTCACAGAAAGATGTTTTTCAGCTTTTCCTCCAGCTGCTGATAAAACAAGTAACATGTTTAGCTTGACTTCAGACAAGGACAACCTGCTCCTTAATAAATTCTAGAGGAAAAAAGGAGTTAGTAGTTACTGAAAAATGAATATAATGATTTGGACATAAGTCCTTGGTGAAGACGGTGGCTGGGCTTATGTTCAAAGTACAAGAATTAGTCCAATGTATGCTCAAAGAGAATGTTTGTTTTAAAGGGAGAACAGTAAGAAAACCTAGTTAAAAGACAGGTACTGCAGCTCAGTGCTGGACCCTGCTCTTTTCCTGACTGAAGGCAAAAAGCCTCTTACAGTCTAGGTAAATAAAATGAAACAAATGAAGGATACATTATTATAAATTTTAACCCTTTCCCCCCAAATAAGAAAGGATTGTGGATAAATCCTGCAGCCATGGCAAAAGTTTCAAACAATTCTCAAATATGTAGGTCAGTTCCATTAAAATTCAAGTATCCTTGTACAGGTTTTAGGAGAGTAACTGTTTTAAGTATCAGTGAGCTCCTCTGAATAGGCTAGAAATTAAGTTTCGCAGCAATGCAAGTTTACACGAGAAGGGAATTAGATTTGCTGTATTCCATCTCTTTCTGAACCGAACAGGAGGCACAACCAGACACTGAAAGTTTTGCCATGGACTGTCTCTACTTTCCAAACGACCGAGCGTTACCTCTCTGGCTTTTTGTGCCGCAAGTTCAGCTTGTCGCTGTCGCTCGAGTTCTTCGAGCAACTGTTTTTCCATGATGCGCTTAGCCTCCTCCACCCTGCGGAGAACCTCTCGCTCAATCTCATCCTTCCGTTTCTCCAGCTCTTCCTCTACACGCTTAGCCACAAGCTCTTCCACTCTTCGGGCAGTCTCTTCCTCTATGAGTTTCTCTTCAATTTCTTGTTGGCGTCTAGAAAAAGAGACATGAAAATAATAATTGAATTAGTTATTTCAATAATGAAATTTAAATAAAACTTTGAATTCACAGATTGACATAGATGATTATTGTTGGTATTATATATTTAAACGTTTTCCTTTATTCTTTGTTCACACACCATCCATACAAAAACTTTGCTTTATATTTAAGAGAAAGCGAGTAAGATGATGAGTACAAAAGCCATAGCAACATACCATATTTAACACATCTTAAAATGTTATATTTAACAACAAAATAGCATTTTGAGTAGGTTGTGATACAGCAAATGGATTATTTTGACTCTGAATGTTACTTAAATCACAGTAATGTTGAAACGTAGCTATCAGCTAAAGTACCCATTCCCCTTTCAAAATTCAAAACATTTTAGGTTCTGTAATAAAACACTGCCCTAAGACCTCCACCTCAAAGGCACCAAACTGGTCTCTAACTAAAATAGAAAGCAGAGACAATAAAATTTGTAATCTGAATATTCCTAACAAAAGCTCCAGGTGTTGTCGTAATCTAGATCTCCAATAATTTACCTTATCACATATCAAATACTGCAGATTTACTTAATTTCTTTATGATGGTATTGAGTGTCAAGCATAATTGTACAAAAACAAAGAATATCAATTCAGAGTCCTAAATAAAGCATTGCTTTTGTGTTCTGCATTTTACAAAAGGAATTTTTTTCTAAAGAGTGGGTTTTGTTTTTTAGTAAGATGCTATTTTTTTTAAAGGCTAACACCAACTTTGATAGGATGCAAAATGTTATATTCACTTAACTTTAACCCCCTTCACATTTTACTGAACAGTAAAATATTGGGTTAGATCCTATAAACGCTTAATACTTGCTGTAGTGCTTGCTACCATGAAGATGAAAAAACTCCTCATGATAGCAAGCACTATTCACAGTAGTGAGCATTTGCAGGATTGGGCCCGTTGGTGAATTAAATATTCAAATACTAACAGGATGTTCATTTTATATAAAATAATATTCTACAGCTAATTCCTTAAATCAGTGATTCTCAAACTTTTTCACTGGTGACCCCTTTCACACAGCAAGCCTCTGAATGCAACCCCCCCTATAAATTAAAAACACTTTTCTGTATATTTAATACCATTATAAATGCTGGAGGCAAAGCAGGGTTTGGGGTGGAGGCTGACAACTCCTGACACCCCATGTAATAACCTCGCGACCCCCTGAGGGGTCCTGACCCCCAGTTTGAGAACCCCTGCCTTAAATGGTATTCGCTTTTTAGGATTACGGTACTGTCTTATATTTTACATTCACACTGGACTTTTGTTTGAATTGAAACTTAAGCACATTAGTGAAATACTGACTACAATATGTTTAAAAGAGATGCATCTTAATTTGTCAGTTAGGACCAATAATGTATGGTTTACAATATAAGACCTAAAATAGAATAGTTTCCGGTCACTTTCTTGTTAAAGTAAGAGTTTCAGATGTTATTCACTCAATTATAAGTATATTTTAACTATGGAGACATTTTCAATTATTCATATATTTTCAGAAAAATGCTATAATTTGACAGATTTTTGATTTCCTAGTGGGGATTTTACAAAATAGTAAGACAACACATAACCTAAAGGGAATGGATTGACTATTTAAATAACATATATGAAACACCTAAGGGCTCCTTGAACCTATAGGTCTAACCCCCAGAAAAGTCAATTTAGTCTTTCATTCTACTGATGCAGATGTGGGCTCTTTCTGATGAAACCTTAAACCAAAGTTCTCTGCTTTAAGTGGATATAAAATATTCCATGGCCCATTTCCTCACCCCACTGTTGTGCAGTGTATTTGTTGCCCACCGCACTTTCATTCCAGAAATAACTGCAAGGTTCTTGTAGGCATATTCTCGAAAGTGTTTTTAAAACCTTAAGAATAAGGCTAGAATCTAAAACAATATTATATTACTCAGTAGGTTATAATTGTGCTGTAAAATTTGTTTCAAGTTAAGCCTTGGTATATATCAGGTATCGATCTACACAAATCTGTATTTATCGTTGCCCTCTTAATCAAATATTTGAACATGAGAAGTTAAATCCACATGAAAAAAATATTTTTGAATTAAAGGAAATATTTCAGACAAATAAGCATGTGAGCTGCTCATTTTTTAAAAATAAAATAAGTAAATTATATTGTTCTCAAATTAGCATCGCATGGTGCAGGTCTCACCTCCTCCTACACCTGGCAAAAAAAGTAAAGATTCCTAAAATTAGGAGCAGCGCTTGCATATCTTTCCATACTTCCAGACAATTATTACATTACATTACACTCCCCCCCCCCCCCAAGTTAGTGTTCCAGGATCAAAACTACGCTAAAAAAGCATGACTACACAGGAATTTATTCTCAAAGATTTAAGTTCTGTTTTAGACCACCACCCCAACATCTACATTTGAAAATTTAACTCTACAAGTCAATGTTGTAGATTCTCAATAAATGCAGGATCAGGCTTAAATATGGTGGTGTAGTTTCTATCTATAATAAGGTATTTTCTGTAACACGTGTATACAAGACTTCCTATACAGAAGTAAAATTAGCATCCTCCTCTAACAAGCAACAACATTTTCAGAAACACCAGAAAGTCAAAGCATGTTTGTGTCAGATTTTTCAGAATAAGTTATGAGATTCATATAGAGTATGTTAGGAGTTTTATGAGAGCTGCAAGAAGAAAAGTGCTTATTATTCAGTGGGTTTGCTACATCAAAGTTTCCATATTCATTTATTTGTAGACCTTGAAATTAAGCGTCACTGCAAAGAACAGAAAACATGGTAAAGCACAGAGGTCTCTTACATTTCAGGACAGCCATTCTGTACAGATTCAGAAGAAAGTCATTTTCAATGTATGTAGCTGCCTATCACTAGGCAATTTGGTAAGTGACATATAAGCCAGTATGAAATATGAAGTGCTTGATTCAACTAGTGAAGCACAACATTTAAATTTAATATAGTTTGCCACATTAGCAAAGCCCAAATGGAATATAACTTAGAGAATTTTTCACTTGACCAGAGCTCTACACCCCGCCTTCCCCCCCCAAAACCTCAACCCTCTCCCTCCCAAAAACATTCCCTACCAAAATCATGAAAGTTCTTCTTCAACACTTAAATAATCTGGACAACTAAAGACTCTTGTGCACCTCTAAAATAGTACTTTGACAAACAGCAGAAATTTGTTTGCCTAACAAACTCCTGTGAGAGAAAGACTGCACTTTACTGCACTGTTGCTACTTCGATCAATTCCCATACTGCCCACCTAGCTCATAAGTCACAAGTATTCCACCATTTTTCATAATAAGCTGATTTGTGTAGTATAACAAAGTTGTTCTAGAAAAACATGAAGGTTCAGGTAAGAAAGCCAACAGATTTTTTTCTTAATGAACTCTGGCCTACTATTCAGGTAAACAGAACTAGATTTGTTGCAAATCGAAGTTTTAATGGCAACATAATGATGAACTGCTTAAGTATTTGATATAAAGATCTTAAACCTTTCATTTTCCTTTAGTACTAGAACAGTTTCTTCCCTCTCCTAAAAAGCCATTTTTGGTCTGGTAAGAGATCAGGCCTTTGTTATAAAAAGCAGATGTCCAATTACTTTAAAACGGCAAATATTTCACAAGTCACATATATGTTCTCAAATAATTAGGTGTTTGCCTTACAGCTCATTTAAAGGGTTACCTGTGAATGAAAAAGAATCTGGAACAAAAGCATTAAGATTCCAAATTGAGAAGAGACATTGTTTAAAAATAAACAACCAGAGCAGGAATCTCTTCTCACTCATAACTATAGGCGCAGTGGTTCTCAAACTTTTGTACTCATGACCCCTTTCACACAGGAAGCCTCTGAGTGCGACCCCCCTTATAAATTAAAAACACTTTAAATATATTTAATACCATTATAAATACTGAAGGCAAAATGGGGTTTGGGGTGGAGACTGACAGCTCGCGACCCCCCCATGTAATAACCTCGCAACCCCCAGTTTGAGAACCCCTAGGCTAGAGAAACTTCACTGATTTCAATATAATTAATCCTGATTGGCCCAGGTCTAACAGGAGAATCAGGGCCCAGTGTCTCCAAGACAAAATATTTTGAAATTTTTCAAATGTGTGTTCTGTAACAATACAACAACATTTGATGACAACGCTATCAAACTGCAATTAGCCTAAGTCAAGAGGACTCCCAACAGCAGAATACTTTAAAATAGAAATGAAAGAAGCAATATGGAGAGATCAGAATTTCCAACATATGGATGATTTGTAATTATTTCATTCATTATGATATAGCTAGAACAAAGCCAAAAGAAAATGAGTTGGTGTAAAATTAATCGGACTGGTTGTCATTATTTGACTCTGCCTAAGCATTCACTTAAAAAAGTGGGATCAGAGAGTACACCGCTACCTCGACATAACGCTGTCCTCGGGAACCAAAAGATCTTGCCGCGTTATAGGTGAAACCGCGTTATATCGAACTTGCTTTGATCCACTGGAGTGCACAGCCCCACCCCCTCGGGGCGCTGCTTTACCGCGTTATATCCGAATTTGTGTTATATCGGGATAGAGGTGTATTTTTGTTTTCCCACATCAATGTTTTTGCATCACAGGTTCACATATCAAGATGCCAAGTTTATTGGACATTCAAAAATAAGGATGGATTTATTACAACTTATTACAAGGAGTTTTGTTGCTGTCTGTGATGGAGTAAGAAATCATAAGGGAGAATAAAAATATTTTTAATAACTTAAATAATGTTGCAAGGTGAACTATTCGGCACCTAATTCCAAATCTATAACAAAATGAAAGAACGCCTGTGGGTTTTATGAAATATAACAAGAGCTACACACACATGAACACTGAACATGCTAGTTTTGGCCAACTAAGCAAGTGTTTCATGATATGAATCCTCTGATTCAGCACTAATGCAGAGACAAACCCCGAGTTAGTATACTTGTTGAGTGCATTCTTTTTACAAGGCACAACACAGCCCTTTGGCCAACTAGGAGTGCCTCAGCCTAAAGAATAAGCTGCATGTTTGCAGAAAAGGGGAGGGACAAAAGTCTGGCAGTGAGCGCTGCATACACAGCCCCAGAGGCGGCGAGGCCTCGGACAGAGGAGGCGACCGAACCGAAGGCCCTTAGATGCATGTTAGAGGAGAAAGCGAGATGGATGGGGAAGGAGGGAAGCAGCGGCTCCGCGGTGGGTGTTTTCTAGCGGGGAGGATGGGGGGGAGGGGCTCGGCGCGATTGCCCCTGGATCGAAGCGAGAGGCGGGAGCCGCTGCGAGCCGGGCTCGGAGAGACGAGGCCCCGGCCGGGGTTCCCCGAGATGGGCACTCACATTTTCCGCTGCCGCTCGAACTCCGCTTTTTTCTCCTCCTCCTCCCGCTTCTGCTTCTCGTCCAGGCTGCTGCGCTTGCTCACCGTGCGCCCGAAGATGTCGATGCGGTCCGGGGGGGACGAGGCGCGCTCCCGCTCGCGCTCCCGGCGGGACGAGGGGGCCGTGTTGGAGCGGGACCGGGAGCGGGACTCGCGGCGCCGGTTCCGCTTGGTCTCCCGGGACTTGGAGCGCTTGCGCGCCCGCTCCTTCTCCCGGGAGCGGGACCGCGAGCGGCTCCGGTTCTTCTTGGTGTGCTTGGAGCTCTTGGTGTGCTTGGAGCGGGACGAGCTCCGGCTGCGGGACCGACCCATGGCGGAGCCCCCCGGCCGCGGCCGCCCCGCCCGAAGCCTGGACGCTAGCGGCACCTGAGAGAGGCGCGAGGGGACACGCGCATCAGCCTGGCTGGGCCTATCCCCCGCCTGGCTCACTGAGGAGAAGGAGCAGGCCCCGGAGGCGGCAGCGAATCCGGACGGAGACAAGATGGCGGCCCCAACCCAGCGGTGACTCGGCTCCTTGCCGCCCCACAATGCACCGCGCACGCACCCTCGGCTCCCTCCTCTTTCTGGCTGCCGGAGATACCCGAAGGCGCTCGGAGAGGTTCGGGCTGAGTCGGGGTGAGCTCGGGAAGAGGTAGAGCGCATGCGCACAGCCTGTCCTTGCGCCATTGGGTGGCAGGCGGCGGCTGGGTGCAGTTTGCTCCCTCCCTCCCCACTGGCCGGGTTATCAGGGGCGCGGAGCCCCCTAGACGCGCACGCGGAGGCCGAGGGCTCTGAGCGCCCCCGCCCCATGTCAAGCCCGGAGGTGTCACCCGCTGTGCGAAGTGCCCCGCTTAGCCTCTCCGCGCCTCGGTCACCCCCACGCCCACTTCCGGGGTGCCGGCGGGACTCGCTGCGAAGTGCCGTGAGCCCACATGGGGGGTAACGGCTGGGGACACTTTAAACATTTAAAAAAAGAAAAAAACTGTTGAGAAAATGTTCATCCCCCCACCCTCCCACACAGACTAAAGGGCTCTAAATTATTCTCTCTTGCTCTGCTTCTGCCTGCACCCGTCGCTGGGGGGTCTCACTCCCTAGGCGGGGCAGTTCCTAGAGGTGTGACTAGTACGTGCCAGGGGTGCCCTGGTGCATCCAGTTCCTTCCTCGCTTCCACTCTCACTGGCGCAGTGCTGAATGTGGGCCTTGATCCTGCCCTTGAGTCCCTGGCCACAGGCGGCCCTCTGCGCCCCTGCACACCCCCACTGACCTCAGTGAAGCCCATGTGGCCACAGGGGTCCACCATCTTGTGTCTGATTACAAGATTGGAGCCATAATTTGGCCTTGTGTATGCATGCAGCTAAACCAGGTTCAACCGCACCAGTTGCTGACACCTTAGGTAAATGTACTAGTGTAGACAAGGCCTGGGATGCACAAAAAATCCTTTCTAAAAACAGAGTGACTAATCACTGTAAGGGTAGGGAGGGTGTCTAATCTATGATTAGGCTGAGTATGAGTGGCTGAATGAAGATGCTTGGTTCTGCTCCAAGCGCTGCCACAGACTTATTTATCTTCAATGGGGAGATTTACCCAAACTGCCATTGACATTTTAATTGGTTCAGATAAAATGGTAGAAGCACTAGGCAAGGTAGTTCTCTCATGGTTGAATTCCCACTTAAAAAAGACCTAATTCAAATCGATACAGCCTGTTACTATATATAATATGGAAGCCTAAGGAGTAAAGGGAAAAAATAGTTAAAATGACACTTCATTGCTTTATTTAATTTTTGGCAAAAAATGTTTCTGTTAATGATGATTAGTTAAAGCTGAACTGCAAATGACTTCTAAAAATATAATCCCTTTTGTGCCCTTTTTTGTTCTTTATGATAGATAAAGGCCTGAAAAAATATGTACGGTTTTATTTCCGCTTGTTTTACCATTCCATTTCATGGAGGATTTTGATATTTTGAAATTTGGTTTCATTCCAGTTTGGAATAAAACCCAAACATTTTGAAATCCTCTGCAAAAGTAAATGGACCCTGAAAGTCCTGGAGTCTCCAACATTGATGTAGTCCACTGAGGTCCCCAGCTCAGAGACAGTCCAAGCCTTAGGATCCCAGGATCAGTGGCAGTCTGCATTGTGAACTGTCCCAGAGCTGAGTATCAGAGGGGTAGCTGTGTTAGTCTGAATTTGTAAAAAGCAACAGAGGGTCCTGTGGCACCTTACTTCTGTTAGTCTTAAAGGTGCCACAGGACCCTCTGTTGCTTGTCCCAGAGCTGACAGAAACTACACAGGTTTTCCAGGGGGATCTTTGTCAAAATTGAACAATCAGTACTAGCAGTAAGTTTCAATTTCAACGAATCGGTAAGTTCTTACCAAGAAATGTTTCACTGGAATTTTTTTGACCAGTTTTAGCCTTAATTTTACTAGTACTCCAGTAACCAAAGCATGCATAGGACCTGAACTGTAATGTAAAAACCAAGCAGAAAACGATTATATCTTTCAGGCCTCCTTTATAAATCCTAAATAGGGAAAAAAGGACACAAGCCTATGTTTTCCCCTTTGCGGGTCACCTTTAGCAGCATCTATATTTGACCTCTCCAGTTCTCGATGTTACAGAACTTTTCTCCATTCTAATCAGTACTATTAATGCATCAGAGACTGTAAGCTTCGTGAACAGTGTATTATCATAGTTCTTTATGTGATTTAATAAACAAATTATTTGATCATGTTTGGTGGTGCAATAAAACAATTACAAAGGTACATTATTCATAGCAGGACTCCTTTTACTAGGAATTCAGGATTTGTTTAATTGTTATCCCTTTTTTATTCACAACAGCATGATAGGAATACAGGGTTTCCAATACACAGGATCAGACCACATTTAGGTCTTGGTTATGGCCGAAACCTGATGTTTCAGAAAAATGATTCCTTTATCCTAAATAATGCACCCATCAAACTATGTAATGTTACAGAATGGAGAATATTTTCTGACTCTTTCGGTCTTTCACATACCCTGAAGTATGAGATTTGTTTTTCTCATCAGTCTAAGTTTGCCTACCACAATAATAATAATGTATAATAAATTAATATCCAGTCTTTTTTACAAATATAGCTACAGTATTTTTCTTATGACCTATAGCAGAGAATTCCATAGGTTGATTATACACTGTGAAAATAAATATTTCATTTTATAGGTTTTAGTTTTTTCCATCCTTAATTTCATTGAGTGTCCACAAGTTCTTGTACACCTCTACCCCGATATAACGCAACCCGATATAACACGAATTTGGATATAATGCGGTAAAGCAGTGCTCCAAGGGGGCAGGTATGCCTGCTCCGGCAGATCAAAGCAAGTTTGATATAACGCGGTTTCACCTATAACGCGGTAAGAATTTTTGGTTCCCGAGGACAGCGTTATATCGGGGTAGAGGTGTATTAGATAAATGAGTAAAAGGAGGGACTGCTCATTTCCCTAATCAGTTTCCTTTTGTAATTTTTGATACTTTAATGAAGTCTCATCTAATTTTCTTTTTTCTCAGTTAAATAATCTTAGTCTTTGCAGGCATAATTTAATGTTTTTCTCTTTAAGGTTAGGTAACCAAATCTGCACATAGTACTTCAGTACTGTGCATTCGTATATATTTTTTACATCGTTTTTCCTCCGTTTTTGTAATGCATTGTATATCCCATTTGCCTCTTAAACAGCTTTTGTACACTTCAAAAACATTGTAATTGAGGGCCAAATTCTGGCCTGGCTAAAGCAACATCTGCCCTCTTACTCCCTTGCCCTGGCTACCCAAATCATGGGCAGCAGCATGGGAGAGGATGCTACATTTCCCACCCTTGTACAACCTAGACATACAGGGGTATCCCTGGCCAGGCACTGTGCTCTGGCAATCTCTATGCATCTGAAGAAGTGAGCTGTAGCCCACAAAAGCTTATGCTGAAATAAATTTGTTAGTCTCTAAGGTACCACAAGTACTCCTGTTCTTTTTGCAGATACAGACTAACACGGCTGCCACTTTGAAATTGAGCTCCATAGTCTATGTAATTAGGATATGCCAAGGTCTGGTTTGGCCTTCAGTCAGGTCAACTATCAGAGGAGCTGAAAGGATCAGGGGAGCTACCTTTTCTACTCAATTTGATTGTCCTGCATAGAATTTAGCTCAGTTGATCCTGAGGATCCAGCCCCAGCAGTTTGAAGTGGAAAGATTCTGTTGTGCAAGCAGAGAAGGAGCAGCAGAGCATAAACCACTTGATAAGTATTTTATGGTGATCTGAAATAATCTTGTTCACAATAGTAAGAGGAAAAAGAAGGGCAGAAGAGCAAGAACCTTTAACAGTAAGGAGGTTCAAATATTTATCCATTATTTCAAACTACGATAGCTATTTTCAGCTTTACTCAGTTATGAGCTGTTTATTGCAAGATCAGGAACTGTTACATTGTACACAGTAAAAAAAAAAAGTGTGAATTGACTGTGATTTTGTGTCACATTTTGAATTGCTAAGGCTAGGCAGGTGCATAAGTTGTATTGCCTAATAACTTCTTTCACACATACTGCCAAAGCTGCTGGTTTTGGTTGTGCATTTTCTGTCAGCTGCTTTGCTTCTCTGTTAGCAGCTCCACAGATTTCTTAGCAGTTCTACTACAGATACATCAAAGGCCAAGCATCTGGGAGATCAGCAGAACAGCTGGGTGGAAGCATGGGCAGAAGCACAGAGCAGGTGGCAAGGACGAAAGCAACCTTTTTCTTTTAAAGCTTGTTTCTTTTGAAACTTGTGAGAACAGACTGAGTCCTTAGAATTGTTGAAGAGGGACTACTTTGGAAAGGGAAAATTGTTTAATTGGAAGATGAGGGGCAAATCATGTAAAATTTCAAATCACACCAATACAAAGGGGTTTTCACACTGTATTGATACCAAAGGAGCTGGATAGGCTGTATACATAAATAGAATCACTAGCTTAACCCAGAGGGAGAAGTAAAAGACAGTTAATAATTGTGTGTAGAAAACAGGGATATTTTTGAACACAGGCAACACATTATAATGTAGTCGACAATATATTTCATAACTCTGATACAGAAATTCTGTTTCATCAGAATTATGTGTATAAGAGAATATGGTTAATTTAAAATCGGATCTAATTTTATTCCCAAACAGATTTAGTTTCATGAAAATTAACTAATTTACTGAGAGCGTGACCAATAAGGTAATTAAAAATGGTTTTAGATAAAATAACAAAATACAAATTTCAAAAGATGGATGCATTAGTGTTTAATTTTGTAAATATTGAGGCTGCTCAGGGCTGGAGTACACCAAACCCCTGAGGTGCCAGCTCGGAGGCAGGTACAGTAGGTCACACTCTGAGGCCACCAAAACATTTGTGAGAACCCCTGAGGGATTGCCATGTGCCTTAATGTGTATCCTGACAATGGCCGATAGGTGGTGCAGCATCGCCGGGGCATAAAGATACTCCACTAACTCTCCCTCCAGTCCCTGAAATTCCACCACCCACCACAGAATTCCCCATGAACAGAGGGTGGGGGGAGAATATGGGTACT